GAACTTACGATGTTAAGATTGTATATACATATATATATATATATATATATATAAAATATTACAAGGACATCAGCAGCCACCTCACCCATCCCAAGTGTCACATTCCTTGATAAACTTCAATGTCACAATAAATTCTCAAATACAATAGTTCCTCCCAGAACTAATTTCACGGTGGATTGCTCAAGTCAACTCTGCAACCATGGACAAAATTTTCCCCCTGCCTGACATCCCTTGTGCTATGGGCACAGCAGTGTGGTCTTGGGGCTGTGTATCTGGCAAGCTACACAGAGGGAATCCCAGCTCTGCTGGAGCCAGCAGGTGTTTCCCTGCAGTCAGCATTTCATCGCAGGGCTGTGCTGGACTGAGGAGGAGTTGTTTTCCTGCCCTTTCCATCCATAGAGAAAGGAAACCTTTGCACCCAAGTTGGAGTTAGACAAGGTGAAGCAATGAGCCTTTTCTGAGCTCTGGTGCTGCTTTTCTGTGACACTGTCTTTTGACAATTTACAGCCAGTACTGTGGTGCCACAGCTGCTGCACTTGGACAATAGGGCCAGTGATCTCAGGTGTTCAGGAGCCCCAGCTCTTCTCCACTTATTAAAGAGAGCCTAGAGAGATTAGGCTACAAAAGGAGATGCCTTAATTAATTTTCTATCAATTAGACAGCATGAATCTGACCCTAAATATCCTTCTAGATATACTGAATTAGTGCTAACTTGAACTCAAACTCAGGTCTAGAAGAGCCCTTCTCAGCTGTTAATTCTCTGGGAACCATGCTGAGCCCCAAAAAATATCCAGGGCTGTTTATCTGTCTTGCCCCAAGACACACAGACCAGCAGAACTCCTTCCCAGCCTTGCAGTAAACACAGATCCTTGAGAGACATTGGCGGGTTTTGTTCTGTTACAAGTAATAAACCACAGATGAAGAAACCACCAGTGGCACTTGAGTCCTGTAGCCCTGTGCCAGCAGGAGAGAAGTGAAAGGGCATAGCCCAACTTAAAAATTGCATTGTATCCTCAGACTGGAACAAAAAACAGGGAAAGAACTCCTCCATTACCCTGTATCTGGCACTTGTGACCAGCCTGAGTGTGGGAACAGGATGCATCAAGCAGGCAGCAGTAGTTGGGTAAATGACCAAGGAAATGGAACCCCTGTGTTTCCAACCATTGAGTTGGATGGATCTCACCATTGCTGCTGGGCCAAGTTCGTGTTTGCTGTCATCAGGTTAAGAATTTTATATCATCAGGTTGAAGGAGTCCCAAATGGGAATAAGGGCCTGCCATCCACTCCAGAGGTAACTTTTGCCAGAACTGACCAGCTGTGAGAACACAAACCTGCTGCAAGGCTCCAGAGGCCACCTGTGTGTTCTGGGGGTGACCAAGCAGCTCTGGGACTGGAGACAATTCTGAAGTCACAGAGGACTGTGTGAGCACAATTCTCTGTACTACGCTGCTTATAGCAGCTTTTATTTTGGCTTCTGCAGGCAGAGGGACATGGAGAGAGATCCTGCTGAGCCAAAAAACTGTGTGCGCTTGCCTTCAATTTATTCTTCGGCCTGACATGATTTTTAGCAATTATTTAAATATCTTCCTTTCACATAACTATAAATCCATAGAAGCTGCTGATTGGGCATGGTAACTGAACCCAGAAGAGTGTAACAAGACACCCACTATTCTTTGCTTGGGGAAGATTTTAAGCAGGGTTGCCGTATTTATCCCTTCACTTGAGGCAGCTCAGGCAAAAGGAAGAAATAGAAATTGGTGCTAACTTGGGTGTTTCTTGCCTTTGATCATTCTGAGTCACTCAACCATCATGTTCTTCTTATACCTCATGGCATCTCCAGTGGGATAAGCAGCTCAGTTCTATCATGAGGGGTAGTTTTGGTTGTCCCAGTGCCCTATTGAAATCTTGGATAATGGGTGGAGTGAGCTCCCAAAATCAAGGGATCTCCAGCTGATACTTCTTCACATCCTGCTTCTATAATCCGAGAGTGGCTTGAAGGATGGATAGGATGGAACTTGGTGTGTTTTACTGTGATACTCTGTTATTTCACAGTTTGTTCTTCTGTAGTAGGTTTTACATATTCCTTGTTATACCTTTGTAATGGTTCATTGCATATACCCCATTTGGCTTCTCTAATGGTTCCGTCCTGAGTTGTTTATCCCAAGATTTTCCCATCAAATGTATGTCAATCCACCTGTCAGTCTCCTTGTACCTCCTTTGTTCCCTTCTGGAATGTTCCCTTTCCTTCACCCCCTCCTCGAAGCAAGACTGGGGTGCAGGGTTTGCTCCTTCCCCTTGGTGGCCTCTATTGAATACAACTTACCTTGCACTCCTCCCCTAATGCCTTCCTATTGGTAAAAGGTTGTGTCCTTCCCTTATTCCCACCTGTTCTTAAAAGCAGCTTTTTCGTTGTTTGTCCCTGAATCCTCTGAGGAAATAAAACTTTCTTGGAACTCAAACAAGTGACCCTTCTCTATTCCTTTGCCTTGGTTTCTTCTACTGTGCTGCTGCTGTGTTACCCAGGCCACAGCTGTCGCTGCAGGGAGCTGCGAGCCCCTGTACCCAGCGCCAGCTGGGGGAACTCAGCAGAGATCTGGGGCAGCGCCTCCGTGACTGCACACCGGTCTGGGGAGTGAGCTGGCTGGAGAACATCTCCCCTGTGACCGCAGCACGCAGTTACATTTTACTGCCCTGGCATGGTGGAAGCATCCAGGTGGATGATCATGATGATGAGAAGCTTGGAAAGGATGGTTCATAATGGAATTATTCTTTACTTTTGTTGTAGGTTGAAAACTTAATCAGCTGTCATAATACTGGCTTAGTCGGAATATTCCCCACGGAACTCCTGACAAGTGAGTGATGTTGGTATTTTGGCTGAACAGCTCATCCGAGGTCACACAGCAGGTTTATGTTAAAGCAAAATTTGGAAGATCACAGTTTGAGGGGCAGCTGCTGCTTCTTATAGAATCAGAGAATCATGGAATGATTTGGGTTCGAAGGGAACTTTAAGTTCATCCAGTGCCACTTCCTGCCATGGGTAGGATCACCTTCCACCATCTCAGTGTGCTCCAAGCCCCATCCAACCTGATCTTGGACACTTTCAGGGGTAGAGCAACCACAGATCTCTGGGCAACCTGTGCCAGGGCCTCACCAGCCTCACAGGGAAGGATTTCTTCCTAATATCTAATCTAAACCTGTCCTCTTACAGCTTAAAGCCATTTCTCCTTGTCCTATTGCTGCACAAAGGGGGATGTGTTATTCTAACAGAAGGAGGAATAGATTGAGCAACACATTACATACTGTCCTTTTAAAAAGCCACAAATATGCCATCTTCCCATCTTCAGAGGCCCTGGAGGGGTCAGAATTCAGCTTGGGGTTTATATTTGAGAAAATTAGACCAGAAGTGTGCAGCACTTTATCCCTGTCTTATTTACAAACAGCAGGAGAATGTCCTGGGAAATGTGAGCAGCTAATTTTAGGTGACAACATAGTTCAGGCCCTCCAAAAGGAGAAGGAATCTATGTCCAGCCAAACTGCCTGGAGCTTGAAGTGCCTGAGGGCAGTGGATGTTTATGGCATCTCCAGAACCTGAAATCTTTTGTGTGCAGACATAATCGTCTGGCGTGCCTCGGGCAGAGGTGGCTGTCATGGATGTGATTTTGAAATCCCCCATCTCATTGAAGAGGAGAAGAGGTGCATGTGGAGTGGTTTGCACTGTGCTAATGCTCTCTGGCCCCAAACCCAAGGGGCTTTCCAAATGCCAATTACGAATTAGAGTTTTCAGTTTCCAGTAGGGGACACAGGGAGTGTGGAGGCTGATCTGGTGTTGCACAGGAACCTGAAAAGACCTGGATGAATTGCAGGGCTTGATTCCCAGTTAAACTGACCTACCTTGGAGGCAGGAAGGAAGGAGGCTGAATTTAAATAACCACTATACACTCCCTGTGTTTTTTTCCATCTTCTTGTTTCCCAGCAGCACTTAGCTGGAACTGGGATATGCTGGGGCTGCATTGCACAGTGCCTGGGCTTCTGGCCCGGCTTTGAATTGGCTCAAAGAAGGTACCATCCTTGCACCACTTCTCCCCGGGTAAGCTTCCTGACCCTGAGGAACGGCTCCATCTTTCTTAAGTCACTCCATATGTACAGAGGCGCCTGTTCAATACCCAACTGCTCTGTCTCACCCTGGCCAGCGAGGACTAAGAGTGCCCTCTGCTGCACTCCTTGCGTGGCAGTGCTCTGCTTGCTGTTCGGGAATAAACAAAATGATTCTTTAACGCAAAACCCAACTGTTTCATGTTTTAAAGTTCTGCCGTTCTGGCTGTGCACAAGCCTGGTGCTGTATTTCAGCAGCAAACAGAAAGGATCATGATCCAAAATAAAGATGTGTGTGATCCTGCAACCATTCCAAAGCACTTTGGGGAACTGCTGTCTTTTAGGAAAAACTTTCATCCAGGAGCTTTTCATTGCCTTGTAAAATACACGGCTCCTCATGCAGGAGCTCTAATTATGAAACTCATTCTCCGGAGCTGACAGGTGATGCACAGCCAGACGTGGTACCTGGCAGCACCGAACTACCTATCCCTTCCTCCTGCTCAGACTCTGAACACCACAAATCTCTGTTTAATCACTCCTCAGCTCTTGAAGCCGAAAAGGAACGGTTGTAGGTAGGGAAAGGGGGTCGGTGTCAAGGAAAGCTGTGCCAAGCTTCATATTAGGAGGTACAAAGAGGAAAAATTAAAAAACAATTCTCCTGCTTTTACTGGGGTTTGATTTACCCACCTGGAAAGTAACCAAGCTGCAGGCAGCGGTGGCAGCTCCATCACCGCCGGAGCCGCAGGAATCCACTCGTGTTCCCTGGAATTTGGGCATTTTTTGTTGCACCCTTCTGAGCACGGTTCCAGCCCGTCACTCAGCGCGGGGCCAGCCCCTTCCAGAGGATATTTAAAGGGAAGCTGATGCACAACTTACTCCGAAGAGGCGGGGAAGCTCCGGAGGAGCGGGAGGGGGCAGCCGGCAGCCTGAGATCGCTGCCCTTCGCAGTACTCGGGATGCTGCCAGCTCGGGGACGGTGACCCGGACTCCGTTCCTGCTCCTCCTCGCCCCTGGCTGGGTACGTACGGCCCTGCAGCAGCTCTGCCTGGGCACTGCAGCTTCTTGCTTCGATGTGTGCGAGGGCTTTGGGCCGAGAGACTCTTCCCGGCTGCCACCTGCTCCCGAGTTTCCGAGGGAAGCTGGGCTGGGAGCGGAGTGATGTAAATGTCCTGGGTAACTTGGACAATGGGTTGTCCAGTCGCACCCCCCCCCCCCCCCCCCCCCCCCCCCCCCCCCCCCCCCCCCCCCCCCCCCCCCCCCCCCCCCCCCCCCCCCCCCCACCCCGGGGGCTGCCCCGTGTAACGTGTGTTATCCACGGGCCTTAGAGCTCCTGGCACATGGGAATGGGTTTTGTTTTTTCCTACTCCTGGAAGCCAGAAATTCGCCCTGGTCTAGAAGCGGGAGAAGAGAGCAGAGAGAGGGGAAGTCAGTGAGTTTGTCATTACAAAGAGTAACAGTCTCATATCTCAATTCCTTACTATCACCATCCTTCCCCAGCTGTCACTGAATCCAGCCATGTGCTCCCAAAAGCAGTGATCGTGAGGGGAAAATTAGACTGCATCATCTCCAGAGCAGGATTTGTGCTTGTTTTCCTGTTAATACAAGTTCTCGAGAGAGCACCTGATTCCTCTTAGGACATTTGAGTGCTGTTGTCGTGTCAGCAGTATCAGGAACATCACTACCATCATTAAACTGCCAAAAAGCACTAAAAGAAGCACTAAAAGAACCAGCTGAGTGTTTATTATATGACCTCTACCTTGCAGCATTAACTCCTGCCTCCCTAAGCTCTTTGTAAATGCTCAGCTCAGAGTTAACCTTTTCCTGCCCTCTGAGTGCAGTCATGAACCCAAACACATTTTTAAGACAACCTCATTGTTTTGGCTCCCCTAGCTGGTTCCCTGGGCTCCTGTGGACATTGGTCAGGAATGAGAAATCCAGACAGTGCCATGGACCTACTGCAGTGGTGGGAGCTCATGTTGCAGCACTTGTACCTCCCTAATGATGCAAGGGAAGAGGTTTTATATAAATATGAAGCAGGAAGAACAGTCTCAATTTTTTTTACCTGCATGTAACTGGGTTTGGCTCTGGCAGTTTGGGAGGGAGCTTGTTCTGGCTTGTCAGCCGAGCAGACAGCTCTGGGCAGCTAGAGGTAGAGAACACAGTGGAGTGGAACAGAGCAGGGGAATCCTCTGGTGTGGCTTGGCCATCACTCGGGGGTCCTGGGAGTCCCACAGTTTCACACAGTGTTTGTGATGGATGCAACAGCTGTCAGAAAAGCCAGAAACAGGGAGAGCCAACATGCCAGGCTTTAGAACCTTCTTAGATCCATGGCCTTGATCTCCGAGTTGAATCCCTCTGGACCCGGGTCAGTGTCAGGTTATTTGGAATTGTTGGACTTTGTGTTACCTTTGGGTCTACAACAAAACCCTGAATTCTGATCCTGGCAGCTCTCGGGAACAGTTTGTGGAGTTCTTTGCGGAAATTTTAAGGCAGTTCTTTGGGCAGAAGAACCAGAAGTAGCCTTTGGAAAGAATGCAGGGTGAAAAACCAATATAATTCACTATTCAGCCTCTCTGAAAGAAAATTCTGTAATGGAGGGCTCAAGGACGTTGGCTGAACATTGACTTTTCCCCAGCTGTTCTCCCACTTGAGAGCCTCCCTGGCCAGGCAGTTGTTTCAATGCTCTGGCTGTTGGGTGTGTGTGAGCCAAACCCCATTCCAGCTCATTCCCTTCTCTACCAGGCCTAGGAGAGCAGCAGGAATTATAAATAGTTTGGGCTGACTTTGCTCAGCAATAAAACCAGCCAACAGGAGCCCCAATACCTCCTGAGCAATGGAGGGAGACACATCTGAGCCGACTGGGAGCATCTGGGTGTATTTAGAAGGGTCCTGAAAATCATTATAAATTGGGATTTTGAGCTGACGGCTGGGGGAGCTGAGGTACAGAATAGGTGACTGCAGGGTCTCCAACTGGTCTCTGATACAACAGAGATCTGAATTGATATATTCTCCTGCTGAAAAGCAGCTGTGATACTGAATGAGGAAGTCAAGCTACTGTGAACAGAAGGTAAAACCATGTGGGCTGGTTTATGTGACTGAGTTATGAAGGAAATAACTAGTGCCAGCCGTGATTAATGAGGGCGGGAGAGAAAAAAACCACAGAATTGTAGAATCATGGAATAGTTTGGGTTGAAAGGGATCTTGAAGATCATCCAGTTTCATCCCCTTGTCACACGCAGGGACACCTTCCACTAGACCAGGTTGTTCCAAGCCCTCTCCAGCCTGGTCTTGGACATTTCCAGGGGTGAGACAACTCAGTTGGGTTTAAAGCTGTTGCATTCTCTTGTCCCCAAAGAGCTTGGTTTAGTTAGCATTTCAGCAGGAAAGCTATTTTGGGAGTGTTTCTATCTATGGCCTGTGGCTGACAGTGCATTGGAAAATACTTGTTACCATTATTTTTTATTAAGTGCATGGATTACATCTTGGTATAGATCCCATGTTAGGAATGCTTTGTTTCTTGTGTGATCTCATGCACTCCCTCTGTCTCATGTGGGATTGAATAATGCGTTCCTTGGCAGCTGGAGCTAGAAAAAAGTAGGCAAGATTTCTGTATTTTTAGTTCTTTTAATGCACTTCAGCAGTTGGGAATCGATTCCTGGGACAAGCTGGGTTCTGGTGAGTGGCTCCAGGGCAGTAGGCTGGGAACAGCTGAGCTGCAGGCTGGAGAGGCCTGTTTCCAAAATACTTAGTGCTAGGAGTTATCCAGGACAATTATGCTGATTCCTGCTGAGGAGAGAGACTCTGGAAGGACTCACCCCTTGGGACCACATGAGAGAATGGCTGTAGCTGTTTCAGGAGTAGTTTAGATGGATATTAGAAAAAGGTTCTTCTCCCAGAGGGTGCTGGGCACTGCTCAGGCTCCTCAGGGAATGGTCATGTCCCCAGGGCTGCGAGAGGTCCAGCAGCATTTGGACAACACTCTCAGGCACAGGGTGGGATTGTTGGGGTGTCTGTGCAGGGAAGAGGGGTGGTACTCCATGATCCTTGTGGGTCCCTCCCAACTTGGATATTCCATGACTTTGAGGGCATATTTAGCCCAATCTCAGTCCCACAGGTGCTGTGTTGGTGACACAGCTGAACAAAGAAGTTGGCACATTCTGACCCCAAATGAACTGAAGGCAGAGCAACAATCAAAACAGGTGGAAGTTTTCCTGCTCTGGTTGGTGACAGACACAATATCCAAGAAAGCTATTTCACAAGTGAGGGGTGGATGGGATCTGACAAGTACAAACAGAGCCTTAACAAGATACATTTTTTGACCTGTTTCAGGTGTGTCCCCCTCCCTGCTGCTCTCAAGGCTATTACCAGCTGTCCTAGGGTGACGTTATGGTGTTTGCATCCCCAATCGTGTGTTCTGTGTATGTTTGATATTCTGTTCTGTGCTTTCAGAACCGACTCAGAAAGTGAAGGTTTGTTTTGTCTTGTTATCAGCCGGCTCACCTCCCCCATGGTCTGTTGTCTAGAAGAGGCTGGTGCTGGCTTTGCTTTGCTTTGCTTGCTTGCTCTTGCTTCTGCTTTTGCCTTTGCTTTTGCTTGTTAGTTTAGCTAAGCAGTCCAATTCTTTCCCTGGACTGTTTCTTTTCCCTTTCCCTTTCCTGAATACCATCCAACCTGCTCCAGACAGGACCTGGGAACCCCGAGGAGCACCGGGAGCCTGTGCTCTGTGATCTGCAGCAGCCATCCCCAGTGCCCAGAGCAATCCCCAGCGCCCAGACCCGGCGGCCACTCCCAGGAGAGACTTTCTGGATTTGTCATCTCTGCAGAGTGGTGAAAGGGTTTTGTTGTCATCTGGTGTTGTTCATTTTTTGGTGCTGGAGAGTGTTTTGTTTGTTAAATAAACAGGTTCTTTTCTCACTTCTCCCGGAGAAAATTCTTCCCGAACCAGGTTGGGAGGAGGGGCTGTGGGGGTTTGTTTTCTGAGGGCTCCTTCCAGAGGTTTTCTCCCAAATTTGCCCTAAACTAGGACACCAGCTCAGCTGCTGCTCTCCTGCAGAGCTGTGAGGGGTCTACCCCATTGGATGCTTCCCGCTCCACCCTGCTCATAGCAGTGTAGGATCCCAGAGTGTTTTGGTGGCATCATCCATGTGCCAGGGTTGTGTCAGCTCTGGGTATGAGCTGAGCCGTGTCCAGAATAGTGGAGTGGTGCATAGAGTGGGGCAAGGGGGAGTTTGGATGGGCAGGATCTGAACAGTAAACCAGGCTGGAGCTGGCACTGATGTTTCTGAGGAGGTTTCAGAGGATCTCTAGAGGCCACATGTTCTGCACTGTTCACAGTCAGGGTGTTATATCTTGCCCAAATCTGGGTACAGGCAGAGCTGAGCTGGTGCTCCTGCTCTGAGCTGATGCAGAACAGGGATGGCACACACTCAGTGTACTGGGATGCTAGTCCCATCTGGGTTTTCCAGAGCAGGTAGTCCTGCTTCCGCTGCAGCCTGGTCTCTGTTTGGTGTCTGAAGTGTCATGAAGCCAAGGGTGGGTTTCAAGGGCTGTCTACTGAAATGCTGTCAAAGGGAGGCATCTGGGCACTCACAAGGTTCCAAGGAAGATTGGTTATGCTGTGTTCCTTGGGAAATGGAGAGGGCGCATGTTATAAGGAAGAAAGTGTGAGATGCAGGGGACAAAATGAAACCTTCGAGCTTCTGGGTTGGTTTTCAGCATCCCCACAGTCCCACTGCCTGGCTTTGGGCAAGTCCTGTTGCTGTGCATATTGTTTTTTCAGCTTACACTGTGTCTGATGCTGGTGCAGAGACTTTGATGGTTGTCCCATGTAAAAGCTGGTGCTCCTTGTTGTTAGTGATTACAACTTTATTGCTTCCAGGGTGGGTGAGGTGTACAGGGGCCTCTGAGCTATCACTTGTCCTGTTTGTTTTGGCTCTGTTTCCAAGAGGCATCTTTTTTTTTTCTTTTTTTTCCCCTTGAGCTCCAGATGAAGTAGGGATGAGGAAAACATGAGTCCTGTGAGTCCTTGGGAGCTGCATACACCCCTCTGCAGCAGGGCTGTTCCCCCTCTCTTCTGCGGTATCTGTGCTTTCAGCAGAGCTGTATTTTTCCTCTCCCTGTCCAGCTGCCTTGCAATAGACTCATTCTCTCCATGGCTTTTGCCTTCCAGGTAGAGCCACAGGCCTGCACGTTCCCATGCCAGTGGCCCTGTGGGTACCAGCCATGTGTGGGATGTCTGTGGCTGCTGCAAGGTGTGTGCCCAGCAGCTGGGTGAACTCTGCTCCTTGCACAGGCCCTGTGACCATCACAAGGGACTCTACTGTGACTTCTCCAAAATCCATACATGCAGTGGGATTTGCTTAGATGAGAGCTGCAGGTTCTGTCCTTGTGTGTTTTTTTTTGTGGTGCCTCCACAGAACACCCATTAGAATTTCCTTGGAGCTTCATCCAGTGTCATGCTGAGAGATCAGTGCCAGCCCTGGGAACAGCAGATCCCCTGGCACACACACAGCAGGCTTCTCACAGCTCCAGTGAGGCATGAGTGGGGCTGTGGGACTCCTTTTTCTTACCTGCATGTAACTGGGTTTGGCTCTGGCAGTTTGGGAGGGAGCTTGTTCTGGCTTGTCAGCTGAGCAGACAGCTCTGGGCAGCTAGAGGTAGAGAACACAGTGGAGTGAAAGAGAGCAGGGGAGTCCTCTGGTCTGAGTGTTGGCACTTCTGGCGTGGCTTGGCCATCACTCGGGGGTCCTGGGAGTCCCACAGCTTCACATACAGTGTTTGAGGACATCCTGCGACATCCTCTACCCTTTGTGCAAATATCAGCAGTCCGAGCTCTTGCTGAAAGTACTTTTACTTGGAATATCCTACCCCAAATCCCTCTGCCTTTTGCCATGGATGGGTGTTCTGCACTTGGCTGCTCCTATGCAAGAGGCAAAATGTATTTCTGGCCATAGCATGTGGGTGGGAAGAGCTGAACATCTCCTTTACCACATTGTGTCTGTGTGGAACATAGAATTCCTGAGCCAAGTAATGCAAATGTGGAAGCTGCTTTACCTCCTGACACCTCTTTTCACCTAGAAAAGAAAATTTTTTAAAGATTTTTTTTTTTAGTAGTTCCTTCTGAAACAAGCAGAAATAATTTTGGTCTAGAGGAAAACAACGTGTTTCCATAGCCTCCTGGTCTTTGTTTCAAAACAAGACTCCTCTACCCCATCTCTGACAGGAGCTGGTATTTTTTCTTACATTTCAAAAGAATCAAATTTTCAAAATAATCAGGAAGACCTAAGAGTTGGCAGTTTGGTATGAGTACTTAGGGAGATGTTTGGCTACAGCACTGTCTCTGGAAATGATCCAGCACCAATCTGAGACAGAATCATAGTATCATGGAATGATCTTAAAGCTCTTCTTGAGCCATCCCCTGCCATGGGTGGGGACACCTTCCACTATCCCAGTTTGCTCCAAGTCTCATTCAGCATGGCCTTGGACACTTCCAGGAACGGGGCAGCCACAGCTTCTCTGGGTACCCTGTATCCTCATGGCCTCAACAGCCTCACAGGGAAGAATTTCTTCTCAATATCCCATTTATCCCTAGCCCTTGTCTAAATGAGTCTAACTTGTTGGCATTTGCTCATTCAAGAAGTTTTTTCAAGTTGCTTCATTTTCATTCCCCAGTTTTGGGGGTTTTTGGAAGCCATGTGAGCTTCTGGTACTTTCTGCAGACATTGAGACACCTGAGAGCTGAGGATTGAAGCTTAATAAGGCAAACACAGGTGTGATGACATCCACCAGATAGATGTGAGCAGCATGCTGCCTCATTCCAAATGGGAATGCAGTGTCTGTTTGTGGAGGGAAGCTAGCAAAAATTTCCTCAGGAGCGTGGGAGTCACCATTTCAAAATCTCTCAGTGAAGCCTTGAAATCCTTCTAATAAAGGTGCTTTGTATTCAGCAGACATCCAGGTTTGATCCAAACATTGGAAGTGATTCTGCTGTGGAGGAAATCAGAATTGCAGACACAACTGTCCTTCCTGATTTTAAATGAGAAATTAGTCTTTTCACAGCAAAAACTGCTGTGAACAGAGGCCAGGATTTATTTCTAAAATGGGCTGAGGATTTGGGCCATAACATCCTTGGGTGACGTTTTTATGATGTCCACATGGGTTTGTTGGAAGATGGGGGATTTTGGAGGCAATGAAGGAAGCTGGAGGAGTGAATCAGAGGAAAGGAAAGGTCAATGTTTTGCCTTAATTTTATCCAAATAAGCAGATGTGCTGGAAGGAGAAAGGAGCTGATGTGTCACGGGAAAAGTATCATGCTTGGGTATCATGGGGAAAGTGTCTCAGTTGAGACCAGTCTGTCGGCTGTATTGGGAGAGATGGGAAGGGAACCATCAGAGGGAAACTTATTTTATGTTGTATAGAGGGAGGATGGACGGATGGCATCCACTTTGATGGAAAAAGTGAGGATTTTGAAGTGTCAAAGTTGGAGCACAGGAGTATTTTTATCCCAATGACATTGTAAAGAGTTACAAGATGAGATGCAAATCTTTATAGGAGCAGTCCAGAAGGATTTGTGTCCCCTCAAGGGATAGAGATGGGATGGAAAGAGATTCTTACTCCTTGTTTGATTCAAACACTTTCTGTCGGAAATAGTGTCCTCCAGGCAAGAAGGACTTAGGGGAAAACAAATCAGGTTTCCTGGGAAGCATCCCCAAACAGTCAAAAATCCTTCCTTTTGCTAACTTCCCCATAGAGGTTTGCATGGATTTTTAATTTTTTTTTTTTTTTTAAGGATCGCGATTGCAGAAAACAGAAGCTTCTGAAAACTGTCCAAAATCAAGATTTCTGTCCTGTGAAAACTCTGAGATTTCAACATTGAATTTCAGGCTGAGAGAAAAAAACTACATTAATATATATTAAAAAAAAAATTAAAGTATTTAAAAAAAAAACAAACTCAAAACTTTCCATTACTTATTTAGAATACTCATTTGGCTGTGTCAAAACTTCCCATTCTATCAAAATACTTCATCTTGATCTTTATAATAGCAAAATAATTACTGAACAAAGTGCTTCCCTCTGTGGATACTATCCCATGTGTACTTTGGTTGAGCATAAAGTAAATCTTTCATATCAAATGGTTCAGTTGGTTCTTGAAAATATTCTTGATCTTAATTAGGTAAGAGATTTCTGCTGGAAAGCTTCACTGGGAAAGTTCTGGCTAATGCACTGGTAAGAACTTGGGAGTGTTTTCATGCCTGCAGAATAAAAGTTGCTACTCTGTGTCAGATATTGTTGAGTTTCCTTTTTTTTTGCCCATTTGCCCATTTAAGTTTTATTGGGAAGGAGGCAGCAACTGGTAGGAGATCTGGAGATGAGAGATCCAGAGATCAGAAGGGTGAAAACTGGAAAAAATTTGGGCTGGAAGGAGGAAGAGATTTGTGCATCACAGAGGAGCCAAAAAGGACATCATCCCAAAGTATCATTTTCATTTGTAGGTACCATTTGCATGGGGGAACCAGCCATTCTTAGAAGAGTGTTGCCTATTGGTATCCCAGGAGTACTGAGGAGCAAAGCCGTGCTCACATGTCATGTCAGTGTTATGTGTAATAAATATAATTCGTGCCATTCCTCGTAGGAAATATGTAATATTGGATATTTGTTAAATCATGCCCGTTGTATTAGTTCCCCCCCCCTTTACAGGCGAGACTGGGTGTATATTAGAAACTGATTTACAAGTAAAAGGATGTGGCTTGGCCAGGAGATGGGCCATGGCTGGGCTCCAGGTGTTAATCATCACGATCATCAGTGCTTATCGTCCAAGATGGATATCATGGAAATCCTCAGACAGATCCATGTGAATGCAGCCTTCCTGTAAACTCTCATCAAGAATTCAACTACTCCGGACATTGAATTATTTCTCCT